ACTTGTTGGCGAAACGTCATTGCTGTAAAAGGGTTGAACCCTTTCTTTTATATGTAACGATGTATGCCTGTGGGCAATTTATTTAATTATAACTCATGTAGCATTCATTATGTATTCGAATGAGAGAATCTTTATTCATTTATCCTTCTTAATGTACAAAATTTTCGCATGTTGTCTTTAGAATTGAATTATAATAATGGATTCGGTAATGGTATCTAAGTAATTAAAAGTGGAGCATTACAACTTGGTATCAGAATGAGTCAGGTTTCAATACTTTGGTTGTGGGAAGTGATTTTTACCACAATGGGTTAGCTATACATGGTAAGGACGTTGCATATAATGAGGATAAGTGTTAGGATTTATGTATTGCTTTTATGTGAGCATGGGATTAAGTTTCCTAGTTAGTGTCTGTAGTTGGCGAACTTACTTTAAGGTCTTATTGGAGATACACCTGATCAACGTGGTTTCTGATAGGAATTCCTCGAGAGTTCTAGGACAAGTAGCTATCTTTGTGGACTTGATTCAATTATGGGATTAAGTGTGTAATTGTTTATGTGTAATAGGATTATGTGTTTTGGGCTAAATGTGTCTTGTGGCTTGGTGGTGGTGAGTGTGTGCCTCGGGGAAGGCCGTTGTGTTGTGCACTAAGTTTGGTTTTGTTTTTGGATTTTTTGGGATGTCTACATGAGGGAATAGAGGACAGAGTGGGAATAAAAGTACCAGTAGGGGCACACTAGTCCCCTTAGCACCTGTCGTTACAGCGTCACCTGTCGGCGTAGAAGTTGCACACGAGATTATAAGAGCGGTACAAGAGGCTCAAGCTCATAATGAGGGGAATGGACGTACCCTCAAGCTTACTAAGGAGTTTCTTTGTTCCAATCCACCAGAGTTTTTAGGAGAGGCTAAACTGCTAGAGATGGATGATTGGTTGGAATAGATTACTAAGGCTCTTGATATGCTCAGAGTCGAAGATGTGGGGTTGAAGATTTCTTTGGCAAGTTTCCATTTGAAGGGAGACGTGGGTTATAGGTGGAAGTACGCTAAGAACACTATAGGTAACACGTGTGCTGCTTTCACAGAGGCCTTTTTGGCCAAGTACTTCCCTCCGTCTACTCAAGAAAAGTTATGGGAGTAGTTTATCGAGTTGTGCTAAGATGCTACATCTTTAGCACAATTTGAGATGCAGTTTACTAGTTTGTCGAGGTTCGCTCTAGAGTTGGTGGCAACAGAGGAACGCTATTGTTATGAGTTTGAGAGATGGTTGTGTGATGATATCTGGGAGAAGGTAATTGGATCTATGTGGAAGAATTACTATGCTCTAGTGGAGGTGGTGGCCCATGTGGAGGCCATGGTTGTTCGTATTGGTGGGGTTATGGAGGAGGCCATTTCAGCAACTTCTACGATTTATAAGCACTCTAGGCTTAGTAAGAGGTGGAGGCGAGCGCATGCTCAGTCCTAAGCTTAGTCTTTGTCTTCGTCGAGGGGTTATTGTGATTGGTGTGGTGGTATTGTAAGGACCGAGTTACAAGGCTTTGAATGTGTTGAGTTTAAGGGAATATGAGACTTTAGAGTCTTGGGGAATTGGTGACGTTATGTCAAAATGTTTCGATAGAGTTTGAGATTTGTATCTCGGGGTAGTAAAAATTGTGCATGTGTGTGTGTGTTGTTTAGTGTTTTTTGTTTCGTTGGTTAGTGAGTTCGTTGTGATCCTATCGATCCTGATAAGGGTAGTGTGGTGTTGTGGTTTGTTATGAGTTGGTAATTATGTGTAGATGAAATGGATTTTAGGTATTCAAGTGTTGAGGGGTATTATTAGAAATTGTATGGAGTTTATGAGTGTGGAGAGAATTTGGTGGCTAGATGCTAGAAGTATTCCTTGGAATGAAGAACGGTTTGTGTTCTCGGGTAACAAGTATAGCATTGGTGAATATTTGTTTTGTGTGTTAGGGGTTTTGTGGCTGCCATTGATCTTTTCGGTCTTATGTTTGAGATGTAAGGATGTGCTTGCCACATAGGCATAGGAGTGGTGATTTTTCTTGGAAACTATGGTTATATGGTCTAGTCTTGAGGAATCTAGGGTGATTCAAGGAATAAGGGAGATTGTATATGGAACTCCATTTTGGGAGTAAATAGTGTTGGGTAGCACGTTAGTGCCTGGTGCCAAGTGTAGAGTTTTATTGAGTTGGTTAGTCGGTTGATTGATATCGGGGTTTGGTTGACAGGTAATCATTTTGGGAAAAGCTTGGGCTTGTGTATGAGGGTTCTAAGGTTGTGGGTGCCTTAGAATGGTTTTGTCAGCATTAGGAGTCTCATGTACATGGTTGTGAAGGTTGTCTTGAGTTAATAGAACCCCTTGGGTTGAAGTAACGTGTTGTGGACTTATCATTTTGGCGTGTGCATTATGCCTTCTGTAGGCAATAATTTATGGCATTGTTTATGATAGAATAGAATTGCAAAATTGTAAATTTTCTTGTGCTTGACTTGTGTTGGTAGTATGGTTGCTATTCCTATTAATTATTATAGAAATGTTGTGTATATTGTTTGATATTGCATCACTGTAAAAGTGATGATTGTTGTTAGACGACGATAGAGATTCACTGATTGTAATGCTATGAAGGAATTGGAAAATTAATTTCCCCTGTGTTATGGCCTCGAATGGCGTTGATAAATGGAGATGTTGTGAATTTAATCTGAATTGTGATGAAGGATTTCACCGAGTAGTTTTTGTAACTTAATCATGGATGATTATGTGTTCTAATTAACACTTTTGTTTTCAGAAAATGTTATAAAATATTTGAGTTTTACTTGCAAAGAGGAAAAATGTATTTCTGGTTGTGGACGGTGTGAGTTTGAGCACATTTTGAGAAATATTTTAAATGCAAGGGAATGACTTTCAAAGAATTGAGAAAAAGAGGAAATTTTCTTTTAACAAGAATCATGTTGTTAATTATTTTACTTGGAATGGATGGGTGGTGTAGCAACTTTGTTTGAACCATTAGTCATGGTTTTGAGGTGTATTTTGGCGTGGTTGAGGCTTACTATGCCAGGGTGTTATCTTTTGACTGTGTTTTGTCATAAGTTCTTTCTTTCTACGTGAATTGACCGAGAATTTTGTTGTAAGGATTTTCTTATGTATTTGAGTGTTGAACACTCGGAAGTGTTTGTGTGTGTTGTGGTGATTCAAACGTGTTTATTGTTGTTCTTGTCCCATAGGCCCAACAAGTAGTGCAGGTTGAGGAGGCATTCGTGATCTCTTCCTTGAGTTTTATCGATGGGGTGTCTTTGGGGCCCTAAAGTGTTGAATCGAGATTCGGGAATTTATTCCAAGTACGGATCTCGTCTTGAGTTGAGAGTTGTGCTTCCGATTGTGATTGAGTTGCCTTTTGTTTCTAGTTTATCTTTAATTTCAAGGACAAAATTTCCTAAGGTAGAGAGATTGTAACAACCTGAAGAGCAACGAATTGTTGTCTCGAGCAGTCTTTTCTCCTTCTCAATACTTCCTTATAAATAGACATGTTGTATATTTCTATTGCATAAAAAACTTGATTTAGTTATGTGATTTCAAATTCATGAAAAGGGCTTGGGTTTGAGTTGTAGAAAATGAAATTGTATGTTTTGGAGAGGGTTTGATGTATTGGAATGAAGTCTATCTTGTTTATGCTATGAGTGCAGGAAAAATCCTAATTTTTATTATTATGTTACATATCATGTGGATTGTATTAATGTAGTAATTGCTAAAAATGGAGTTAACCGAGATATTGAGGTTGTTTTGAGAAATATATGTTATGTTGAGCTGAGTTAGGTTGTGGTTTTGGTTAATTATGGGTTCGGGATTATTAAAGAAAGAAAATAAATTTGTGGAACATGGTTGGAGTATCGTGAATAGGAAAAATAATAAAATTGATTTTTGAAAAGAAAATGAAATTATAACTCTTTTGTAAATTAAGAATAAATAAGAGGTTAGACATTGGAACGTTTGATAGATGTTACTGTTGTTGTTGGGCTTATATCTCACGAGATTTGGACGATTGTAGTTATGTGTATCAAATACATGAGCTTAGAGGTTTTGTCCTTGGTCATCGGTGGAAGATGACATTGATGTATTGAATAGATTATGTGTATGTATTACACTTGTGTTATTATCCTTTTAGTATGTCGTGATGGTTGGTAATGTATACTGCGCTGAGAATAAGTATCATTACTTTCTAGCTAGCGCCTGGAGAATTGGCTGTGCTTAAAATGGGAGGTGCCAGTACCTTCCAGATGTGCCTAGAGAACTTGGCAGAGGTACCATTCCATTCCAGTTTTTGTTTGGTAAATTACGAGAGGTACCATTCATTTCTAGTATTTGTCTGGTAAATTGATGCTCTATTATGGAAAGGTTTGTCCTTGGATTACCATGTTTAAGGCAAGTAGAGCATGGATTGGTGTTTTAGTGTTGAATTGGTTTACCTGTATGTATCATATATGGTAGTGGTTTGGTAGATAAGGCCGGGTTGTTTTATATGATTGTGTAGCAATCATTGTATACACATTATTTCCTTTTCGTATTAAAGATAATTGTACATACATTTGCATATCGAACGAGTTATAGAAAGGTTCAAAATTAGATTTTTACGACTTCACATCAACGACATATAGTAAATACAAGTCGTGGTTTTTCACTTTTACAGTTTTCTTTTTTCACATGTCGTAAATAATTTTTCAACCACGGCATGTCTATTGCGTAGGCCGTAAATGATAATAACGACGATTTTTTTACGACCTGCAATGTTAACCGTAAATAATAAAACTTTCTATAATATACATATAGCATACCACTAATACATTAATTATATATGACATACATACGTTAACCGTTAAAAATATTACACTTCTAACAGCACAATTAAAAATATTGAATTTTACGTTATGACTGAAAAAAGTAGGCCCAAAATGAAAAACTCTAGTGCCAAACACCAAAACAAATTTATTTCAAACACGATAGTACTTCTTTACTCTCACCCTTTATCATATCATATCATATCATATCACTGTAAACATTTTCGATCTTTCTTATTTCTCAATTGCTCTCCAAACCCTAAAAGCACCCATGTTCGATCATTCCTTCCACATAAGATGGAAAACCAAAGGCAAGGCCCTATACAATAAACAACTTGTGTGAAAAATCCCTTCATGAAGAGCAGCGTTTTACAGCATTGTTGGTCTTCTTCTCTTGCTCCATTCCTCCTCTGAATCGGTGGCGGCGACGGCAATTTGGGGTTTGATGCACTAGGGTCATCGTTATCCTCTTTTCTTGTACCAAGCTCTGCTAGATCTCTTGGATCTTTATGTTGACGATAATTTAGTTATACTAGAAGCTATGGCAATGATTTGGGGTTTGGGTGTAGATGGTGTAGTAAGGGTGGAGACACATGTGGGTAATAGTGGGTGGAGGTGATTGGGGTGAGGGTGGAAGCTGAGGTGTGGGTTGGAATTGCTTGATTTGGGAAAATCATTTACTTATATTACTGCACTTGGTCAAGATCAACCATAGTTGAAAAGATCGAAACCTATCTCAAAGCTATGTCATGGTGCTTGGTTGCTTAAGACAACGCGTTTGACAAAAGTCCCAAGTGAGGTGAGCTTCCTCTTGCTTTGATTCTCTTTTCAGTGGGGGTTTGAAGTGGCGATTGTGCATTAGGTATTGATTGTGGGTGTTGGACATCTAATGCAATTTTGATTTGTTAAAGCAACCAAAGAAACATTCTAGCATGAGGTGTTTTCAGTTGGTAATAATTTGCTTTGGAAATGAAATGGACATTTGAATTGGACTTTCTTTGTTTGCTTTAGCAAATTTCTTTTGTTCTGTTGTCATTAATGGTGGGTTTTTTTTTTTTTATTTCTACCAAGGTAAGATATGTCATTTGATCAGGCTTCCAAAAAATATTTATGTTTGAATGAATTAATAATTTTATTCATTAAAAATAATTTAATTGATAAATCAATTTAGTATCAGGCTTCCAAAAAATATTTATGTTTGAATGAATTAATAATTTTATTCATTAAAAATAATTTAATTGATAAATCAATTTAGTAGTTAAAAATGTGAGAATGGTGATATTTGAGAGACATTTTATTATAATTTATTCACTTTTTATTTAGTATTTAAGCTCGGATTATTAGCAAAAGTTGTCATTGTTTGAAAATTAACCTTGGTTGCTTCTTTGTAATTTGTAGTTTTTAGAAATAATGGAGGAGAAAGTAGCTAGCTTGGCTTAATGTGTTCACTGTGTAAATGTTGGGATCCAGTATATGGAGTTGTATTTGTCCTGTTTTTTATGGATCTTGTGCTTTCTTTTCTTCATTTTATCCAGAGAATTCTCAAGTGGCAAATGCAAGGTTTCAAGCTACAACAGCAATTCGAGATGTAGCCAGGTTTCAGGCTACAACAGCAGTTTGAGATGCAGCTATCAGAGAATGGGTGTTTCTTACGGTTGATGAGAAGACAAGCTTGATTAGGTAATTTATAAGTTGGAAGTCTCCATAAAAGCCATTCATAGTATCATATTATTGCTACTAATGCATGGGTGTGCATATCCTTTTTATGAATGTCAGACAATTTTCTTTTGGTACTGTGGAACGCATCATGCTAGATTACTTATCAAATTCTTTTCTTTAGCTTTTAGTTGTTTTTTTATTTTTCTTTTTAATTTTTATTTTCCTTTGTTTGTTTTGGGGGATGGGTTATTATTAAAGATGTTACTACATTTATTTTTGCAAGGATTCATAGGTTCCCCTTACTTGAGACCCCCTCCTGGTACTACTAGGCTACTAGCTTGTGGTACCTCACAAAATTGTTACACAGAAATTCTTCAATGTTTTTATATTTTTATATTTTTGTATTTTAAATATTTATTTCAGTGTCCTACAACCTTGATATATATATATGTATTGCTTGCATTTATGATCACTACATTTGTTACAGTTTTTGTTTGTGCTTTGTTATGCAACATGCTAGTTCACCCAAGGGCTATCTACAAGCAAAAGTTTCTTCAATAGCTGCTCAATTGATGAAAAGGGGTTGGTAGGTTGCCTATAAGTTTAATTCTAACCTCCTAACATGGCATGAAAAATGCTTCTGCAATACTATGTTATGGCAATTGTAGCTTACTTGGGATGCTGCTACCATATGTTATTATTGTCGGCATGAGTTAGGTCCTGAAAAGATTGACCCAAGTTCCCATATTACATAACACATTTTTTTTTTTTATATATTGAAAACAAAAAATTAACCTTGGCATGAGTTATGTCCTTAAAAGATTGACACATCAATTCATTGTTACATGAACTTCTTGTCAGCTACTAAAGAGAATTTAAAATTCCTAATTTGGCATATATGTTTTGTTTGTAGGCTAGACTTTACGGTTGCTGAAATGGGGGTTTTCTTGTATCATGTATATGTTTTATCCTTTAACAATGCACCTGTAATGTACTATTTCTTTGATATTATTGCTTGGTATTAAATAATTCAATTTATGCAAATTTTAGAAGTGGGTTTGATCTTTTGAACAAGCAAAGAAAAGAGTTAAACATAAAAATAAAACAAATTTGGTATATATGATAAGTAGAACAATTGTTTTAAAAAAGAACAATTTCTACAATCAATGTTTTAAAAAAACTAAAATAATATACCAAAGTTTTTTTTTTTTTTTTTTTTTGAACAAGAATTACATATCAAACCTTATTGTGACAAAATTGTGATACGCATACCAAAGCTTATTGAGGCATACCTGGAATTATTTGTATCATCTTGGGAACATAGTGGTCTGTTTGGAAGGAAAGAAAAAGTAAGTATCAACTATTGGGGAGCTGATTAAGGTTAAAATTTCTTTATGGTTGAAATGTAATACATAGGGGGTACCTTTTTCTATTAATAATGTGGTGTTCAACCTTCTGCAAGTTAGATCTTGTTCAAGGCAGTAGATTAGGAGTAGAGATCTGGGCTAATTTTTGGATTTTAAGATTGTTGTTTGTAGGTTAGGTGACTATTGTTTGGTAGATCTAACAGCTTTTAGACTTGAACTAGCACATGATTGGGTGCCCCCCATTGGTGCCACAACCTTGTTGGGATTAGGTTGGGGTGCTATGATGCTAATTTGTTCTTGTCTTTTCTAGGTAACTCTCGGCTTTGGGTGGTTGTTGAAGGCTTGTGCGATGTTATATAGATTAGGTTGTTGAAGGCCTGTTTGGTTGTGTGGCTATTTTGTTCCTCTGCTTTGTTGAAGTTCTGCATCAAGTGTAGTTCTGCTTTGCTCCTCTGCTAATGGTTTGAATAATGGGAGTGGCCTATTTGTTGGGTGTGGCTACTGCTGTTAGTTACAGAAGAAGTGTGGAAACTGCTGTATTGATGTAATGTATGTTTGCTGTTGTTAATGTATGTTGCTGGTTGCTGCTGCTAATATATTGTCAAGTTCTATTTTCTCTACTGCTCCTAGTGTTTATTGTTGCTGCTACTGTTCCTCTGCTTTGTTCAATTAGTGTTGGCTCCTCACCAACATTGTGATTTGTTCCTTTATTTCTTTCTTTCTTGTTTCTTCTTTATTGATGTAATCTCATATGTAATGTATGTTTTTTTCCATCAATAAACATTCTATTTTGCTGATCAAAAAAAAAATAATTATTAGCTATTGGCTTGGAAATTGAATTATTTATTTATTCTTAAATGATGCCAGCTTGTTTAATTTTTAATGAATTTTCTTCTCTATGCAGGTTTTGTTAGTGATTTGAGTAGGACTAGTTCTCTTTGGGTATGTATAGGGTAGCAGAGCTATAGAGCACAAATGATTTGAGTCCCGCTCAGGTAAAGTATGTTTTGATCCTATTCATGAATCATTTTGTTTTGTAGTTATGGATAGAATTTGAATAGGCTTAGTTGTTTCAATCTTCCAATACCTATAAAACCCCTTTAAGTTTGTATAGAACACATTTAGAATCTTACTATCCCAAAGATTGTCAAAGCAACAAATTGTCAGTCACTATATTGTACTTTGGAAGAGATACTTGAATATGGATGAAATGTATCAAAATTAGCATAAAGTCAGTAATCATAATTTCAGAAAATGATGTTAAATAATGTAGAAAAAGGACCATGTAAGTGCTTGGTTTCTTATTGATTTTGGTTCCTAAACTGGTGCATGTTCACTAGTAGTAAGTAGACTTAAGCACATTATGGCAGATGATTCCAAACAATAGAATTGCAATTAGTAATTTATAGTTGAGTAGTTAGTAAGTTATAGTTGAGTGATACATGTTGATTGAAGCATTGATGTTTTCTATTTGAAATGTCCCTCTGCAACTCCCTTGATTCTAATTTGTTAGCCTCAATATTGTTGAAATGGATTTTATTTTTTTTTTAAATATCGGTAGCATGATAATGAGGAAGCTTGATGAATGAAATGAAATGGAAAAACCAGAGTTTCATTCACGTAACCAGAATTTTCCCTTATGGTCCAAGTGGCATCGTATGTGGCAACATGGATTAATTTTCACTACTAAGAGAGTTTAGCCATGAACACAGTAAATTTGCATCCACAAAATTAAATGCTTAGGTTCTCTTGAGAAAGGTAACCTAAATTAAGCTCTTCTTGTTTTGGTTGTAGAAATGCCATTGAATCATAGGAAGGATTTAATCTAATTATTAAAACGTAGCTTAAGTAAACAAAATTACAATTCAACATGCTGGTATTCATCATTTTTTTGACATCAACTCTCCTCTAATATCTTCATGTTAGGGCACCTGTGTTGATTCCCTTTGTTTTTACTCTCTTAGTCAAGAAATTTTTTTTTTTTTCAACTTTAGATTTTTACCCTCACTAAAGAGAAAATTTCTGTCTGTACAAAGCCATGGAGATTATGGTTGCTTGCTCTGCAATGGCTTTAACAAAAAGGAAACAATAAAAAGGAGGAAATAACCAATCACTAGATAGCTCTTGAGACAAGTGGAATCGTGGAGGTATAATAAGTGCAGCTGCATTAACTAGAGGAACCTTAATGACAATTACTGGTGGTATGACATCTTCAGCTTAGGCTTTTGAACATTTTAAATGCCATATTGTTTTTTCCTGATAAATTCATATTTTATTGGCAACGGTGTTAGCTGCTCCAACTATCCATGCAAGCTTAGGTGCCTTACCACATGTATTGGGCACCCTCGTCCCTATAATAGAAGCAAGCGGGTTTGCTGCAGCTGCAACTATTGCAGGAACTGTTGCCAGTAGTTTTGGATAATCTCTAAATAGTTTTGGATATGTTTAGAAACCTAGATATGCCCAGTTTTTGGATGGTTTAAACTTTTTGGACAGTTTAAAACTTAAGGATATAGTTTTTGAATATTTGGAATGTATAGAAAATTGTCGAATGTTCATAATTTATGAATATAGTTTCTTTTTTATGCTTGAAACAATATTTTGATGGTTGATTGAAATTTTGTGAAGCTTGTTTGTAATGTTTGTTAGATTATACAGAATAGGCCAAATAGAACCTGCTGAATTAAAAAATATATATATATATATTCTACGGTAGGCAAGGTCGTTGTATTGCATATTTTACGACGAGCAATGAAAATTGTGATTTGTGATAGGAATTAACGGCGTACAAAAGTAGTAGAAAAATCAAACACGACGCAAAAGATTTGTTGTTAAATGATTTTTAACGGCGTACTACGACATTCCATTGAAGTGAATGACTGGTCATAACATAGCTTTACCTCGCGCGTCGTAAAATCATATCCATGGCGTATATTTGGTGCTGTAAAAACCTAAATTTGTTGTAGTGTTTATCCTTAGCTTAGGACTAGGAAATGTGGTTCATGTATTAGCAATGGATGCATGTGATGGGTTAAGATTATAAGGAATGAACACACTATCGAAAACGAGTTCTTATTATATCTGGAAAATGTAGGAGAAAGAAAAGAGAATAGATATATATCGTTGAGTAAGTTGAATGATTTTTCTTTTTTTTTTTGGAAAAGGTATATATATGTATATAAGTATACTTTGATTATAAACTGTCATATTAATTATATTGTATGATATGAATCATTCATGATCATACTTATCTGTTTGTTGTTATTGTTTAGGATCATGTTGGGATCACTACTGGACTTTATGTTTGTTCCACGTTGCTAATCTTTTTTTAGGTGATGTCCAAGAAGTGGTTTAAGATTGAGGATCTTTTTTTTTGCGTTGGCCATGGGGCCTTTTACTTGTTGGCGGAACGCCGTTGTTATAAAAGGGTTGAACCCTTTCTTTTATATGTAATGTTGTAAGTCTACGAGCTATTTATTTAATTGTATCTCATGTAGCATTCATTATGCAGTTTGAAAGGTTTAAGAGAAATTATAAACCAAATAGCGGATTGGCAAATAACCAAATCACAGTTTGGGCGGTTTGGGATAGATTAGCGGATTAAGAAATATTCTTGACCAATTATCAAGCATTTGCATAATATATAATACTAATTTGAATAATATTTTTCATACATATATATTGCACAAACAAATGTTACATAATATTTTTCATATATAATTAGTAATTTGTTTTTCACATCTTAAATCTATCTCACGCTCATTTTTACTTTCATATTTCATTAGAGGTTAAAAAATATATACGTATTAACTAGCGAACAAAACGGTTTCGAAAGCAAATTATAAATTTTAAAGTTTAATCCACGGTTAATAGATAGAATAGTGTGGATTGTTGTTGATCGGTACAATTTTAACGGATTAGGTGATATTTTGTATAACTAATATGTGGGCCATTTTGACCGCATGTGCAGCCGCACCTAGTGAGCCCCAATCTTTCTGATAGTGTTCTACATTTCGATTTTTCGTTCTCACGCTCAAAAATCAAATTTTAAATTTGCTAAATATCAAATAAGAGTGAACACAATCTTGGTCACAATCGTCAAGGACACAATCCAACATAGTAAGGGTCCGAAATAGTGTTGGTACACCTGTATACATGAGTTCAAATCGGGTTTAAGACCCGGGATGCCACATAGTTATTGTAGAAGATAATTGGTACACCTGTATACATGAGTTCAAATCGGGTTTAAGACCCGGGATGCCACATAGTTATTGTAGAAGATAAGTAAGAAAATATTATAAATTAATTACTCCTACTTACTCTTTCAAAAAATAAAAAATAAAAAAACCCACCAGAAGATTTAATGCCCAATTTTCAAAGGCCAAATAAAAATTTAAGATTTTTTTTTTTAAAATAAAATTTTAATTAGGTAAGGTCTTTTACTAATTTATAATATTTATGAACTTATATTTTATTTTTTGTAATCCTTTCATACACTAAATATGTTTGAATTAATTACTTTATAGACTTAATAGATTCAAACAATAATTTAGGGACTAAATAGATTTTAATTTATATAATTTAGGGACATAATAGATTCAATCGATAGTTCAAAAACTAAAGAGATAAGTTAACCATAGTTTACAAGTAGAAACTGTAATAAGCCCTTAAATATATGACAGATTCATGCATATGTATTTTTGTTATATTAAACATAGATTTCATAACATACCATTTTATTACTTCTACAATTAACTTGGATATATGGCACAAACTAGGGGTGCTCGCAGATCAGTTTGGTTGGGTGACTTCTCATCCATCATTCATATGAATTTAGGTGGATTGTAAAAAAAATCTATCTGCATCTATCCGCTTAGTTAGTGGATACGAATTGAGTGGGTCATACGAGTTAGTAGGCAGATATGAATCGATTTGGCAGTTTGAGCTTTACTATTTTATGTTTTTTTCTAAAACTATTTTAAAGTAATTTTTTACTATTTTGGGCCTTATTTGAATTGAATATTTTTTATTCTTCATTTTTCATAATTAAAATAATGGTCAAACTTTTATATTTCATGAATAACTAATATTTTTACTAAATAAGATGTCTTTTTTAACATACAAAGCATAAAAATATAACATCATTTTCTTAAAAGGGATTGGTGAATCAGGTCGGGTCATGTGACCTCTCATCAACCATCTGTCTAACACATGTACTTGAAAAATCTCCATTTACATCTGTCCGCCTATACTATCAAAACAACTTAGAAGCAGATGGATTGAGTCGGGTTAGTTGATTTTGACGGGTCAGTCAGGTCTGTTAACACCTCTAACACCAACATATCAGTATAACAACTTCGCCAGAAGTCAACATAAGAAGCTGCCCCAGCAATTACTTTTTTTTGAAATGCATTCCTTACAAATTCACTAAACACCAAAAAAATTTGTAAAGGACATTCAAAAGCGGTGCCAAACACCAAATTATGCTGAATGAAGTTGTTAGGAGGTAATCAAATATCAATTGATGAAGAAAAGTTACACATTTCTTTTACCTAGAATCACACAAATCTCATTTGGTGTAGTTTCTAAAATTTCAAAAGGATCTAGACTATTTCTAGTTAGTTATTCCAACTGGATGATCTAGTTTGGTTCATTTTGGATCTGTTTTGATAATCTAAATCGTTGAATATGTAAGGCTCGTCGAGTACTTCATTTTCGTAAAAAATCACGTTGATCGGATATCAATAAGCATTCACTACAACATTTTTTTAGTTTAGTGACATTTGAAAGTGTCACAAAACTATTCTTCTAATGACATTTTTTGGTCTTGTGGCATTTTGAACAAGTGCCACTTCTATTGGTGCCATGGTAGATATGAGTGCCACGGTAGATACTTGCAAGTGCCACTGCACCATCATGGCTGAAAACTTTCAATGACATTTTAATGCCATAAAAAGTAATTTGCACCTATCTAGTGTCCTGACATTTTTTAAAAAATGCTATTGCAACTAAAGTTTAGTGGCATCTGTTGGTAAATGTCACGAACATAATTTTTTGTGTCATTATTTTATAAAATGTCATAAAATTGATGTAACATTTCTTTATTGAAATGCCACTAGAGCCTTATATGTTTTGTGGTTCTATGGCATTTTTCTAAAACATTTAATGCCAATTTTTATTTTTGTGGCATTTTCTAAAAACATGCTACTAGTGTAGTGCCACTAAAGTGTAAATTTGTTGTAGTGACATTTTTGTTGTAGTGAAGTGACACTTTTTTTAATTGAAATGCCACTAGAGCCTTGTATGTTTGTGGCTCTATGACATTTTTCTAAAAAATGTTACCAAATATTCTTTTTGTGACATTTTTTAAGAACATGTCACTAGTATGGTGTCACTAAAATATATTTTTGTTGTAGTGTTGTGACACTTATTCATTGAAATGTCACTAGAGCCTTTTATGTTTGTCGTTTTGTGGCATTTTTAAAAAACATGCCACTAAATATCATTTTTGTGGCATTTTCTAAAAATATGCCACTAGTGTAGTGCCACTAAAGTACGTTTTTATTGTAGTTTTGTGACACTTGTTCATTGAAATGTCACTAGAGCCTTTTATGTTTGTCGTTTTGTGACATTTTTAAAAAACGTGCCACTAAATATCATTTTTTGTGGCATTTTTTAAAAATATGCCACTAATATAGTGCCACTAAAATTTGTTTTTGTTGTAGTGATTTGATCAGTTCATATTTGTGTCAACAATTTATTTTTAAATTCATTCTTATCGTTGACACAAATTTTATTTGATCAAGTAGCTATAGATATTCGATCAACATAACTTTTTGCATGAATAAAATATTTGACGAGCCCTACACATTGAACGATCCAAATAATTGATGTGGGCTTCATGGTGTGTCCACGGAGGCCCAAGAATATGCTCTAGTCCAATTTCAGATTGGAGAGAAGCCACTGCCTTTTAAAAACTTATAGGGAA